CTTACCGTTTCCGATATCCCAATGGTGGCCTCCTTGAGTTGATTACCCTGTATAGCTTGTTCTATATATATATATATAAAAAAGTGTTAAGCCAAAGACTAGTACCGTAAACAATACAACACAATTTACATAACAACCCTAGGAGTGTATTCAGCTAAGCTAAGGAGAAAAGTAAAATAATAATGTAAGATTGACCAAGTTGGGTCAGGGTAAAAATGCATTATTTAGATTTTAATATTATAGTTCAACAAAATTCGATGTCTTTCTTTATATTTATTTTAAAATATGTATATTAAATTATATAAATATCGTAATCCAACATTACCTAATACGATTTTCACCGACTTTTCTCTACGTAATCAAAACGAATCTATGTATTGATACGAATCAAATCTAGCTACCGGATTGCAGATAATTTGCAATAAAATACTCGTTGTTAAACATCTCATAGTAAAGTATAGTTTCTGATGGTTGTTAAAAAGGCATTAAACAAAATTGAAAAAAATAACATGAATTTTCCTTAATTAATTCATTGTCGATAGATCAATCAACCTGATAGCCTTGACCTCTCAGCTTGCGTTAGTGCGAGAGGAGGTGATATTGAACCCTTATTAATACTTATTCTTCTCATGCAGAATAAACAAATTTGTGAATAATAATTTTAGCACTTTCGAAAATCGTATGCTAACAGGTCAAAAAATAGTTCATAAAAGACAGTAATAATGGTAATCTAACTTAGTACGAACATTGACTTTGGACTCGGCGAGTTGATTTATCATCCTATATTAAATTTGAAGCATGTTTCTGTACGTTTCATGTGCGTTCTATTATTTTTTGGTAATTAAGTTACAAAGATGTTTTCGTTTTGATAATAATTCGCTAAAACACCGCTGGATGTCACTACCGTCGAGGCTCTTACTAGATCGCCTAATCACCGCTAGATGTCTCTACCGTCGAGGCTCGACACAGTTAACCTAGTAACTGCTAGATGGCACTGCAATCGGACATACTCAATCCTCACAAGTTTATTTATTTACTAATATTTTTGACAATTTATACGGTATAAAAATAAAGGAAACAAATCGGTTGGGTCTAGAAACTGTAAGCTTTACTTTTAAATTTGAATCTTTTTCTATTTATAGCCGTGATATTTGACAAAGACACATTTTCATCACTTGACACTCGCAGTGATTTTCAGGTAGCTCGTACTAGACTACCGTACTACTGAACATACTATGGTGTATATTTGATGAAATGAAATAAAGTTACATTCTTTTAAAAGCCGAGAGTCGTGTCTTTTTTTTACCTGAGACCGATGATTGGCTTATATCACCAGCAAGCACCCAATAACTTGAAATTGAACACCGGGACCGGATCTTTGCTATTGACCTTGCTCTTTATACAGTACTGTTAGTCTAATGTTTATTTGTGTAAATGAATAGATTACAACTAGCTAATTCGGATTCATTAATTAACTAAAGTTAACCGTTTTCATAATTAATTCATAGCTCTGCATTTTATATCCATAAAGTATAATAGTACGCTTTATAATGACTACTGATAAAATATTGGTAAAGTTTCAACCTGTACAGTTTTTTGCTGTCTCGTTTTTATGACCAAGAAATGTTGGGTCTTTACACTCATCAGGAACAGTAGATTTATCTCTGTATTTGATGTTAAAGCGGTACTAAATATACGCAATGGACCTTGAAAAATGCAAAAATACATCCATAATTTTGTCATCTTTTTACTGAAGCAAATGGCCGATTATTAATTGTACTTCCCAACATTTATAAAAGCAACATTTTACCCTTCGTCAATATTGAACCCAGAAACTAATTCTCTTTCACCTTCAGAAAAATCAAAGGGAGTTCGATTACTCTCGGCCACGTGACACACCATGGAGTTTTCCTCCGGGTGCATTTGTTTTTATAGAAAAGTATATGATATCGCCACCTAGCAATTTTAGGAGTAACAGTACTGCGTGCATCTTCCTATGAACCGACTTGACATTATTTTGTTGTCACTCCTCCCCTGCAAAACCCCTATTAAATACTCAATGCTATTAATCATTTGAATCCCAAAGAGCCGGGTAGCACAAAGCCAAAGCCCAACTCCGTGAGTCACCGAGTCACCGATGGTGTTGTTGTGAGTTTTGCTATATATTTTTATAAACCTTTTAAGTGAGAGTTTTTAATTAATTTCATGAACAATTTTATTGATTATACATGGTATTATCGAATTTCCCTATAGGGAAGTAGCTGTTACTGTTGGTGGCATGGTAAGACCTAGTCCCGGGACCAATATACTTTATCATTTATTTATTTATTTATTTTGTATACGGCAAATACCATTTTTATTTACATTTAACATTGCAATTATATACTGTACAGATGGCCAAAAAAAGATGACGTAATAATACATGCGACCATTACAACTATCTGCTATACCTACACTCAATTAACAAAACAAAGTTGAGAAAATAAATATATGATAAATATCACAGCAAGTGGCAATAAAGACAAGTTAACAAGCAGGAACAATAATACAATAAATATTAACGAAGTAGAGACTAAATATAAGCAAACCCAAAATTATGAAACACTACAAAATAAATACATAGTATGGCGGCAAAAACGGCAAATTTACAGAAGAGAACAATGTACAAAAGGCACGGTAACTCTGAAGAAAATAAAAGAAAACTTAACAATAAAGGTAACAACAAGATAGACCATAAATATTAATAAATATTAAAAAGTAATGCACAGAAGTGAGGGGAGTCGACGGCCCCAACACTAAGTCATCGCCACACTCCTAACGAAAAGCTAATTAAAAAAAAAATCAAACATGCACATGCTCCTCTGACTAGTAGAAGTTGGTTAGCTCTTTCCTCATGTCCTAGAGGCTAAAAACACTATTCGTTCAGATTTTTATATATGTATCTATATATATGTCCGTAAACGAGATAACTTGAGCAATTTTTGTCCAATTTTGATGAAATTTGGCTTGAAGGTGTAGGGCCGGCGGCGGGTTAAACTTGAATAAGTTTGCAAACCAGCATGATCGGACTATGGGAACGGGGTCTTATGGGGGGTTTATGGGGTAAAAATAGGGGTTTCTCATTTTCTACCCTAAAAACATAAAATGTTGCTATTTCTCTCTAAACCATTTTAAAGAGCTTAATAATCAAATAATTTAGTATATTGGAGTGTCTTTTAATGGTTATTAGTAACGGAGAAAATTATCGTTATTCTTAAGGAGAATAAGTAAACTTATACTAAGCTACATATTAATATTTTGTGAAACACACTTTATTACCATCCCTGTAGCAGCAAACCCAGGTACTTGTTAAACATAATGTATAATTCAATAGATTTAATTGAAAATCTAGTCAGGTGAATGTAAATTTGCTTAGTCTGCAGGATTGCTGCGGTGGGATATTTGTATTAATATATATATATATATAACATGGTTTGTCTAATTTTTCAACACCCGGAAAAAACTCTGTGTGTCACCGATTGTGTTTTAAAATCAAAGACACTGACGAAGGGTTATAGTAAAACTATTCCAAGCTGGAGTGGGAGCTATCAAGATGGTTTTTAGTAAAAGCAGCTTCTTTTACTCTACACATCTTGGGCTTGGATAGTTGAGGTTGAAACCATACTCTACTGAAAAATGCAAATGAAATGAAAATTATAAATTGTTCACGTTTACCACTACACCACTACATTGTTTATGTTTGGAAGTGACCAAGTATGATTGATCATACAAATAAAAAAAAAACTATTAATTTAATAAAGGGATGTTTATTGATTTTTCGTAAGTAAATCAGAAGAAAGTTTAAAGCTTAAGTCTATGATCATATTGCTCACTCATAGCATAGACAAATAGAATAAATATAGACTGTCAAAGGAAGGTTCCGGCGTCCATCGCTTGGTTTGCCGTGTAGTTACGGCGCACACCGCTGCAGTGTCTGCTGGTCGCTTACGGCTCCTGCGCTCCTCGCCTGCAGCGGTGTGCGCCGCAACTACACGGTACTCCTAGCGGTGGACGCCAGAACTTATGCTAACCGCGGCACAGCTGACGGTCTATATTTATTCTATTGGTCTATTCTCATAGTAATGTCATAGATAAAACATACTCCCTTAGTAGGTTGCTCATTCTTATGGAACAGCTGCATTGATGTAGTGGTGCGGGAACGCATGGGAATGGGGTTTCCACTCTTGTTTTGCAAAAAAATCTATATAAGTGACCTGTATTTTTCTGTGAAAATGGTGAGCCTTCCCACACTGGAAAATTTAAATTACACCACTGAACAGTTGAAGCCAATTTTATTGTTAATTCTGTCCGGTGCACTGTAGAGGTTGTGTTTTATTTATAATTAGTTTCTTGTTATTTCAGTCATTTATATTTATTTGTAAACATTGTAGATGAAAAAGTCTGACATTGGCCCACATAAAACCCTCTGGGGCAGAGCCCTTTTGACGGATCTGCACCAAACTTCACTCGAACCATCCTTGAAAGATGCTTAATAATGCCTGAAAGTTTCATTACAATCTGTCAAGCGGTTTCGGAGTCCATAACGTATATACACACACACATACATACATAGTTCCTCTTTTATAGATATAGATTTGTTTCTTGTTATTTCAGTCATTTAAAACCTCATTTAACCAAATAAAATGATCTAATTATAAACAATAACTCGTCTTCTAGTTATAACCAAACAGTAAAGCACAAATCATGACATTAACTCTATAATGATAGAAACCAAATTTCGTCGACACTATACGAAAATATAGGTATAATAGGTATATAATATAGGTGGTATGTCCAGCCGGACATGAACTAGACACTAAACGAAAAACAAGCTTCAAAATTTACAATGGGATGAGAAGTCTACAATTGTGTTGGTTAGTTTATGGTAATGCAAACACTAAACTATTTACTCTGCATATGCCACTGCCTCTTCACAACTGACAGTCTCGTGTTTCCCATAGGTTTGTCCCATATTGCTCCAGTGATGTCTGGAGTGGCCAGCACAGAGCCTCTCAAAGTGACTCCCAGTTTAGCTTCATGGGATCTGTCATAGTACAAGAGGTCATCAAGGACCTTTTGACCCGAGGGCTGGAGTCAGCATCCTCTCTCTTATTGGCTGGTAGCAGGTAGGTCAAGTTTATCAAACAGGTCAATTTGAAGGGGAAAGGGCATGATCACTTTTTTTAAAACCCTTTTGAACTTATAAACTATTAGAACAACATAAAAACAGATACTTATGCTTTAATTTGTTTTTACTCATTGTGGTAAGCATATTTTTCTACGAGGTGGGAAAGATAGATTAGTTAGAAACATGTTCTAGCAACACTTCAGGATCTGGAATCTGATCTGAACCTTAGGTGAGAACTAACTAATCCATAACAGGATTTTACATACCCGACCTAAACTGGAAAATCACAAAATCAAACGCCACTTAGAGATTTGTAAAATAATGATTACCAATAAATTGATTACCAATAAAAATTCTAATATCCACACTCCACAGTATTCCCAAGAAAAGTAACACTAACTTTATCTTCAAAATTAATTTTAAACACACATTAAATACCATTGCGGTATACTAATCTCTTTATCCATCCAAATTCCAGCTTAAAGGTCAAAATTTATTAAAACACCAATCTCAATCCTAACTGACATATTTTCTCCAGTGCTGGAGGCATGGGAGTGATGTTGAACCTAGACCCTGTGAAGGCAGCTCTCCGGGGACACAAGCACATAGCTCTCCGAGGAGTCTCGGATTCCGGGTGGTTCCTGGACCGCCCTCCATACACCCGGGATGGGGAGGGCTTAGCCCCTGTGGACGCCCTTAAGCGGGGCATCCTTCTCTGGGACGGACAAGTGCCCAGAAAGTGCCAGGAGTACTACGGTCAAGAACCTTGGAGATGCTACTTTGGCTACAGGCTCTATCACACCCTCACTAGTAAGTTTTGAAAAATCCTTCTTTCTGCTGGGCTTCTTGACAACATTATTCTTTTTAACGATTTCTTAACGAATATTTCTTTTTAACGATGAGTTCTTTACTTTTTGTTGGTTAGACCTATTCTCATCAACGATCATCCTTTCACCAATATTCTTGATCTAACTGCACTTGATTATGCTTCTGCTACTATGTCAACGTATTCAAACAATTTTCTTTAGTTCCTCATTTTCCTCATCCTCCATTGTTCCTCTTACGGTACTTTACTGGCCTATGTGTTGCTCTTAGAGTAAGCGATTGGTTCCCTAATATTGTTTATATTTTGTGTAGGAAATTTTAATTGTTGTGATACTTATTTAAAAGCTCTGAAAGTTTAAATTGTTTTTTTTTCATACTTTAAGACTTTAGCACACGATAGTACAAGTGAAATATTAAAATATTTTGATTAAATTTTTCTTTTTAATAACAAATTTGCTACAGATTCTAATAGATTTTCCTGTATGAGTATCCAAAAGTCCATGCAGAAACTTAAAGTATTTTAATCTTCTTTCTTCTTTACAAAAATTACAATTCACAGTTAAAATCTCTTCTGTTGCTCTTATTCCCATAACAGTTTTCAGGGCCGGTTCTAGGAATTTTTCAGAGTTAAGCGAACACCCGAATTAGCGCCACTTAAAATCCCCCCCCCCCCAACCCATGAACATAACTTAACCATATTTGTGAATTTTTTCCCAACAATTTTGGGAAGAACTTTTTTATAAGTTTAGGTAGAAGAATACTAACTTGGAATAAAAGACTGTTTATTATTCGCAGAAATGTGACATTTATACACTTTTACTCATCATATAAACTATAGCAAAACCAAGGACACACTAAAAAAACAGGCCGTAATGCTCGTCAAGCATGACGTCACGATAGAAGACGGCAATGACGTAATGTTTGCCGTTTGTGATCAGCTGCTTGTTTTAATCTTTCCTTGGAAAATAAATAAATAAATACCTACGTCATTGCCGTCTACTATCGTGACTTCTTTGGGCTGACTGGACTCGCCACCAGATGATTTCTCCAAAAATCTACTAATTTATTTGGCTTTTTTTTCTTCCTCTTCCAAATTCGCCTTACGCTTTCTATAATAAGTGCCAGACGGTTTCTTTTTTTCTGCCATTGTTTTCATAGTATCGGCTCGCAAGATGTTTTACTCATTCATTCAGTTTATACTTTCTTCTTATTTAATGCGCTAATTATAAATTAAACTTAAAACACTCGTAATCATGCGCTTATCAACAATCATGAATCATCAAAACAATGCCAATGCGATACCGATACGGTATAGGCCTACGTATACAACTAAAAGAGTTCAATACAACGTAATGCTCTGCTCTAGGATCAGAGGCAGAAAGGAGTGAAAGAAAGGGGAAGTTTCTTGTTGTGACAAGTGGCGCTGCGCGCTTGCTTATCTCGAGCATGAGTGAGTCGTGAAATGAAACGAATGAAACCCATAGGTGCCGCCGGTGCCGGCGTGCCGCGCTGGCGCTGCCGACTGCCGAGCGTCAGCTCACTTCAAATCGAAACTGCAAATGGCATTGAGTAATTGAGTTGTAGTGCTGTACAAATATACAAATTTTTCAAGGGCTTTTGGTACAAACAGAATAAATGCCTTTATTGTGGTGCTTTGAATACTTTAACTCTGAGCAAAAATAAACAAAATTACGTTGTTCACGTAAAAATATGTTCCGTTGGCGCCACGGCGCCACTTTTTTGTGGCGCCATATGCGGCCGCGTAGTTCGCGTATGGGTTAAACCGGCCCTGACAGCTTTGACAGTTTCTTCTTGAATTTAGTTCTAACCCAGTTTCAAGAACTTTTTAAATAAGTTACTTTTTTGTTTTGTAGTTGCCTTTAGTTGTTGAAGGTATATTTTCCTGATGCCACGACCTGTGGCAAAATGCGCACCAGGAAAATATATCTTCAAGAATTAAAGGCAACTACAAAACAAAAAGGTAACTTAATTAGTTTCTTCTTGATTTTGCAGCTCCACTGTTTGTTTTTCAATGGCTGTTTGACGAGGCTCAGATGACAGCTGATAATGTTGGCACTCCTGTCACAAAGCAACAATGGGACTACATTCACAAGATGGGGGACAGCCTGCGGAACACCTTTCAGAATGTTACGTTAGTATCTACTTTTAGCTCTTTTAGTTTTAACGTTGAATCTGAGGGAATGTAATGCCATTGACTATTGGATACTGAAGTAGACTTCCCATCTATGGACCAGCTGTAGCCATTTATTAAAAGAATGTAGTTGTGTGAGCCAGTCACAGAATGCGCTAGTGTCTAAAATTCTATTTTATACCTTATTTTTTGTTGCTGACCAGGTTGATGGACCATAACAGTTGCTATAGCTCACTGTAAGTCATTCCCTATGTTTGACTTGGTAAAAACATTTGTGTATTCGACAGAATTCAGTAATTTAGATCAAAGCAATCTGTCAGTGGCTCACATCAACTACGACAATTTTGATTTAAAAATCTGGCTACAAATTTAACATGGGGATGGAATGTATTGTTATAGTCAAAAGTAATACTTTTGTGTTTTGTTTACTAATGTAATTAAGATTACTTAATGTAATTAACAAGTAAAAAAAAACTGTAGGGATACAAAAATAATAGGATATACTCAAAATTTAAGTTTATATTGGTATTAACTCTAGAACTTAAAAAATCAATGTAGTAAAATGAAAAATAAATTACTCTAGCAAACAGAAATTGAATTATATTTAAGTAGTTTTCAATTATGAGTAAAAATCTGGTTTGTATAACAAACAAAGTTGTTAAAATACTTACTCTTATCTTTTGGAAACTTGTAGGTAATCAGCATACACATTATAGCACAATAAAATCTTAAAAACACAATATGTGGCATATTCTATTTGGTCTGTAAAAGACAACAAAATTATTAAGTCCTATTCAAGAAGTTATTTAGTAAATCGTACAGTTAAGAGACATGTACTACATGAATTATCTTTCAATCCAACTGCAATACTATGTAATGACAGAATAAATTGTTGTCAATCTCACTATACTCAGTAATACCACTTTGAATCAAACCAGTGTACTTAAACTTGAAGGTAAGCACTATAAGCACTAAGCTACCTAAAGAATTCAACAGTTACAGTCTTAATATCAGTATTTTCTCTATCTAGCACTCTAATTATCAAGGACATAATTTTAACACAAGTTTCTGTGGCTAGGTCCGTGTTTGCGCCATCTTGCATCTCTCACTCCGTCTTGACCAAGAGGGACTGGCGAGTTTTGCGGATTGACGATGTTACGTTGCCTCAAGCTCTGCGATGTTGGGAACTACAGATACAGTTCCCAGACATATCATTCCGCAAGAAGGATAGGTGAGTACACGTTATGCAGATATTATATCGAAAACTTCAGCGTAGTAGCTAAATAGTCAGAAAACCTTTTGAAGGTTTCGTACTTTGAAAATTAAAATCCTGCACTAAAAACTTAGAAAAATCCCTTGTTGAGCAAAATCAGCACTCTTTGTCTCGTATTGGGGTGTTAGTAACATTATTTCCAGCTGTATAGTTGTAAATTTTCCAGCTGCTCACCAGTGTTGCAGAAAAATACGGATCGCTTATTAAGGTTCTTTGGAAACTAGAGGAGTGGGAACATCGTTTTCCACCCCACTAGACCATCTGATTATTTCCACAATTTATCCCTATATTTTAAGCATGTTTGACACAAACCAAGTTGATTCCAGCAATTTTAATAATCATAAGAAGATTTTGGTACAGAAATAACAAAATTTTAATTCCAGTCACAAAAAAAAAAACTGTTGTATTTAAACCCTTAACTTTAGTTATTTTTTATATTAAACTTTCTGTCTTCAGTTCAGTCAGTATGCTGTCTGACTCACCGCTGCATGTCAGTAAATCTGCTAGAAACCTCACCAGATCTGCCGGCCCTCAAACTACGCAGCGCAAACGCAGACGTAGAAAAAACAAAAACAAAAATAGAGGAAAGAAACGCAAAGGTAAATCTCTTGCTGCTTAACTATTATATCAGTTGATACGATTCAAAAAATACAAAGTTACAATTACAAAATTGTGCTTGAAAACAAAATTTTTATTCATTTTTTTTAGAAAAATTTGACTTGCATTCTTTCATAGCTTTCTTTAAAATAAGTTAAATGCTGTTTATAAAATGAAAATTACTCCTAGAATTCTTGCTTGAAGTTAATTTTTGATTATGGTACATTTGTTGTTTGAGTAGTATGTGCGGAAATGTCATAGGTACTGTTATACCTGGAAACGGGCTCAAATTTTAGATTCCGAAACGTAAGCTTGTTTTTCTAATTGGGATTTAAAATGTCTGCAAACATACTACAAACAGCTAACACCTAGAAGTGACGTGTGTGTTCTTCAGCCGACCAATCCTTGGTAGATGGTATATGAAATAACGGAATGTAAATCGTTCCAGAGAGGAAGGGTAACCGCATGCGTCCGCAGCGTTCTACCGCAGTCCCCAGAGAGCAGGCTTGCCAACATCGGCTGATAGAGCGATGCTCCTGGCCTCAGTGTAACCACTCTTGTCCCAAGCTGAGAAATCCTTTCACAGGTATAATTCAATTCAACGAATGTTAACAAGTACTTAATACATTAAGGAGAAGGAATAACTTTCTTCTAGTTCCATCTTGTAAGGATGAAATCGAAATCCTAAATCAATTGTGTTGGGAGCTTTCACTGGAACCCTAGTCTAAGATTAGTTTGTCAATGGTAGTGCTCTGTTACTGCTCTGAAAATGGTCATTTTCTATGGAGTCAAATCGTCATGTGACCATGGAAGTCTCTTTCTTATCTTATTCTCTATATGACGGCACATATGCTACCTGAAACCAATCCATGCAGGAAGATCATATCCTGAATAATCATGAATTAACAGTTTTGTGGGTAGATCCTGAGAGTGAATGCTGCGTTTGTCACTGACCCTTTTATCTTTTCAGGAGAAGAAATGGATTTTCTGGAGTTGCTGAAATCGTTCGGTCTAGATTTGATGAGTGTTGCTAATGCTCTGGGGATTGACATAAACACTCTGAACAACATGGACCCTGAAGAACTTCTCAACTTGCTGACCCAGCAATCCAACTGAAGCTGGGGCAACATCCACAATATACTGATTCAGGGGTTCACTGATGTTTCTGGTGTTAAGGGATTCTCTACTGGAAGATTACACAGTGCCAGATTCACCACTAGCCCAACTGGGCTGTAAGCAAATGGGAGCCACAGCATTTTGTATAGAACAAAATTTTTATAAAATTAATAGTTTGAACAATCGTGGGTGAGGATAATATGGTCTCTTGATCGCAGGAGATTTTCATGATCATGCAACGTTGGCAGGGAATTTCCGCATGAGAAGGTCGGGATAATTTGGCCCGCATGTAGTCCTAGCCGAAACCCAGCACTAAGATTACACTGCGTTATGCCAGTAAAGTCATTCATTTACATTGAGGCGCAACTGGTTTACTGTTTAGATCAAAGTTGTAGGATTACAATATGCAAAGATCTTGAGTTTTAGACTATAAATTAAATTGAAATGGGATTGAATATTCAAGACGTCTTATTTAGAAAAATATTAAAACACGTTTATTTTAATTTTTGCATTCTTCTGTCAAAGAATTAAGTTAAAACTTGCTCAATATAATGTACAAGGTATTTAGCAAAAATATTATTGCATTATTGGTAATACAAATATTTCTTTATGTTTATTATTCCTCTGACTTTTTGATTTGTATTTTTCAAAATATTTTGTTGTGATAATTTTTGTAAATATGTGAATTGAATACAAAGCATTTAGAATGCAATAGTGACTAAGCCGTTAGTTGTATGCACATTTTACCAAGACATTCTTTTAATTTACTGTAAATTAATATTGGTGTTCCAAGGTAATGAAATATAATACCAAAGGAAAGATATTAATTTTACTTAGTTTTATTGTCTAATAAGTGTTAACTGTATATTTAATTTTGTTTTAAAAGGTTTGTTATGTACATATTAAGCTGTTTGTTATATGTGGTTTATTACTTATTACTTTAAGAATGAATCTATTTACATTCAAGACTTGTTTAGTTATAGTTATAATTGCATTGTGTTTTAAGGAGCCAAATCTATCGTAGTGAAAGATAATCATATTTTTACAGTTTACATAAGCTTAATTGTGTAAGGTAAAATTTTAACAATGGTTGAACTTTTTAGCTTTTAATACTTTTTATATGTAAATGTATGAAAATTTATAAATTTTTGATTGTTTAAAATTTTTGTTATATATTCTAATAAGTAATTGTACTGTAGTAAGGAAAAATAAGTGACCCTTTTGTTACAGTATGGCATCTTAAAAAGTTTATTGCATTTAATATTACCAAAAACATATTAGGACTCACTAACCTTTGTGAATTGATATAAAATTGTGTTTAATGTTAAAAGTCCATTTGAAAAAGTTATGGTAATTCTTTTAAGAAAAAGATACTAAATTTGGAAATTAAATTATAGCGATTCAGATCCAAACAAACCACATTATTGAGTACAAATATGTTAGAGTGTAAGTCAGAAGTCAGTATTATCCACTAAGGAGGTTATTTTTGTTCTATTTATTTATTAACCCTCTTATAGAAGAATAGTTTTAGCATACTCCAGTAACCTACCTACCTCTTTAGAATTAGTTGTAAAAATATTTATAAACCCTTTAATATGTCTATAAAACATTGAAAAAATACAGTGTACAACACAGTTTTGTTTTTCTTTACCCAAATCTCCCAATGCTTAGCTAAATTTGAAAGTACCACTTTGAATTACATTTATTATATTTTAACTACCTCAATAAGGTACCTCACTTTTTTTTATTAGTCATTTTTATTTGCATTGGCGTATTTATTAATTTCAAGTACTTATCTGAATATCGCCTTTTAAAATGTATATTTATTGAAAATTGTATTGATTCTACTTAAAAAAATTTTTAATGGCTCTTTTAAAACTAACAATGAATTCATAAAAGGATTTAAGATTTAGAAATATGTACTTTAAATTTACAAAAGAGGAAGTTTAGTGTATATCTTTAATAAAAAAAAAGTTAAACTACTGAATTACACTTTAAACTGTGCCACAGAATTTTATGTAAATTATAGCTGTACAGTAGAACCTCTTTAATCCAAACTAATTGGGACCAGGGGTAGTTCGGACTTTTGAATAGTTCGGATTACGGAATATATTGTTGTTTTTACATACCAATAGCTAAATCATGGCTAAAATTAATCAACATTATTTTGGGAAAAGGGAAAAAAATGTTTTATAAAGTAAAATACAGTGTTTATTTAATACAGTAGTAAACGTGGTGAATAAACAGTAGGGTACTGTAAATTAAATACAGTATACAATAAAGAACTGCTGTACTGTGTATAGAGTACAGCAATGAGGGGTTCGGAGCAGTGGACGTTCGGATTACAGGGGTTCGGATTAAAGAGGTTCTACTATTACTTTTTACAAATCAGCCATGCAGTCAAATGGGTGACTATTTGAGTAATGGTGAATTTTTCGAGATCTGGATTAAGTGAGGATTTACTGAACTGCAACAAAACACAAAAAAAGAATATTTTAATTATTTTACCATACTTGTTTTATTTTGCAAATGATCAAATCTAGACTTAGTAGCCATTAATTATTGGAATTTCAATGAATAATGCTTACTAACATCAGGTTGATGTTCCTAGATTAGGGCTAAGACTATTGCCATAAAAATATTTCCCAGAAGAGAAGATTGAATTGATGACTAGACAAGCCCCTAATTCCCTCACTCCTGATTCTGTATTTATAATTTTATGCTACTTGAACAAACACTAGAAATATTGTAGTGTTTCATAAATGAATATTTATTAGATTTACCTTTGTTGTGTTACAAGAGTTCTTGTAAGATGTTTGTGTGATACATCGGTGACACATGTATGTGTTAATAGTTTTGTATGGGGTTAGTGATAAGAAAATGAAAAATCAAAAGAAGACTCTTGAAGATTCCACACAAGGTGGCTAAATGCCTGGGGTGACACAAACATCCTACTGACAAAAACTAGGTAACAAAAACAAAGGTATAGGGTGTCGCAAAAAGGATGGTCGGTTTTAAAATGAACATAACACAAATGATTTTACGGATAAATTTTACTGACTTACGTTTCTGGACACTTTTAAACTCCCTATTGCAAAAAATAACCTTGTAAGTTACAAATTTGCTAGTAGGCTATGTCGATAAAACCATAAAAAAATTAAAAATTAATAAATAGAACGTAGCGGACTTTGAAGTACTGACGCTCATACGGTCTCCATGTTTTGAGGAGTAACTGCCGTCCAGTAGATTTACCACGATGGACCCTGTTGTCCGAGATGCAGTCATCCAATGTGATATGATCTGCGATCAGGAACCAGTCCCATACGGGCTACGCCAAAATTTTGTCGAAACAGCCGTTACGAAGAAAAAAAAGATTCACTGTTTCTGAAAAAAAAGAAAAAACTGTTCCACAGCTAAAATGCAGTGTTCGACCGTCCACTGCACCATATCGCTGCAAATTGGGTACTATGGTCGACTTACAGACGGCCGGTAGTGGACCCGAACCTCCCCCAACTACTAATGCTACACAGTTCGAATCCGACCATCCTTTTTGCGCCACCCTGTATAATTTAATATAATTCAAGTTCTTGAAAAACGGAATGGCAAATAAATTAATATTTTTATCTATACTAATATAAAAAATAAATTGCTTGTAATTGTAGACATTAGTTATTTGCCACATTATTTTTTTTTTATTTAAATTTTTTGTCCTAGGTTGCTAGGCACGAGTCCGGGATTGTTTTTCACACTACTTCAGGCTAGACCTCCGGCTTGTGGCAATATAACTTAGATAAAATCCATTGGTGATTTGGCAGGATTTGAACCCGGGACCTTAGGGACAGAAGTCCCTCGCTTTACCTCTAGACCAGCGCACTCCCTCTACAAAAAATAAATTACCAGACACAGTAAAAGAGGGTTGTAAAGGTTGATCTTTATAACATAACGTAGTGAACATTTATAAAAATGTATTTTAATGGTTTAGTAAATAAAACTCAATTTATTGGATACGGTTTGATTACAAAACCATCAGATCCGACTATGGATTGGGGTCCGTTGGCAATGACACCACTGGTGTAGGTAGAGAGGTATCAATTACAAATGATCAGCTGTTCCCCTGTGAGGAAGTAGAGAGTTGAACCAATTGTTTTGTTAGTCCTTGTCACTCGTCTCTCATGGAACTGCTCGCGTGGTCTCTCATCTGGCTGACTAAACTCTCTGGTAATTAACTTGTATCTTAGATTAAACATCGAGATTTATCATCCTTATGGATCAGCTGATTCAATTGTAAAGTTAGTTCTGCACAGTTTACGAAGGGTGTTTTGCAGCTAACTATTTAGAGCGGAGGCTGGCGTTTACCCCCCCTCCCCCCCCGTGGGAATTTTCGACATATACATTTTTTGGTTTGTATTGACATGTACTTTAAGGTTTTAGGTGTTTGCCACTTGTGAATTACAGCATGTTCCGGAAAACACGAAAATATCATGAATATATATATTTAAAAAAATGTTTTTTCTTTAGCGAGTTCGTTTGGCTCTACAACCCGACCGATTTTCATGATTGAGGTCTCAAATTGAAGGTATTAACGCACAGATTTCACATCAAGCATCGGCATATAGTTGCCTACAGTCCCACTCGGCTTATACGTAAACAAAATTTTTTTCCCATGTATTTCTTATGGGAGTTAAATTTTGTTTTTCTTTTCCGAGTTCGTTTGGCTCTTCTACCCACCCGATTTTCATTATTGAGGTCTCAAATTGAAGGTATGCACGCACAGATTTCACATCAAGACTCAGTATATATTTACCAACAGTCCCACTCGGCTTATACGTAAATTAAATTTACCCCCCATGTATTTCTAAAGGGAGTTAAATTTGTTTTTTTTTTCTTTTCCGAGTTTCTTTGGCTCTTCTACACGTCTGATCTTCATGATTGAGGTCTTAAATTGGTAGTATGCACACATATATTTCACATCAAGCATCATCGTATATTTATCTACTTTATTACTCGACAAAAAAACATAGGTTTGATATATTTTTTAATTCGTATTTCAATTTAAATTGTACAGTATTTTACCAATTTTTAATTATATAACCCTATATATTTTGGTCTAAGAACCTTCAGTGAAATACCAGCTTGCATTTAAGATATTAGTTATTCAAATCGGACGGTTTTCAAGCAAACGCAAGGTGAACATCCAACATAAAAAAATATAAGGTTTTTCTATTATTGAATATCAATAGCTCCAGTATTGTTTAAGTTTTTTTATATGTTTTAGACTCAAAATAATCAGTCAATTATAGGCTTTAATTTGAGCTATTGATCGTTTGATCGTTTGAATCAGTTAAGTTTAAGATACTGTATTACACAATCAAAAATAATCAATTTGATTATTTCTAGGATATAATATTTATTTTAACGCCGCAGTGCAGCATGGGTCCTTAGGTATAGATTTTTTAGTTTGTTTTGATTTGATTAGTTGATTCCTGTGCGTAGGACGGGCCCACAGCAAGTTAGAATTTAAAAATGCAAGTATGGTGGTCATCAGATTGTTCTCAGTGACATGCAAGCAAATGAAATGAAACGAAGTGAGCAAAGTATTTTGCAAGTACTGTACTTGATGCTTTTGAACGATGCATTATTCTGCTTGAAGTTGAAAACTGTGATCAGAATTCCTATATGGTCTGTTTATTTATCAGCTGAAAGACCTGTACCCGAATCGGTGTAAGACAATTTACTCAATGTAGATAATCTAGGGAAAGCTGCATGCAAACAGATTAGTTGAGATAAGAGCAATAAAAAATATTTTTCTGGAGTTTTACTGCTGTCCCAAGAACGTGATATTAACCGTGAGAAGCTGATGACATACCCATTAGATCCAGTACCATGGGCATCAGCCACTGTCGATGGATGCCCAACCAAAACAGAAAAGGCCAAACTGCTCCATGCTTTGGAGAACAAGGGTATAGACGAACCTCTCAAGATTGAATAATGTATGTATGCAATTTACGGTATGGCTTACTTTTAGGTTCTTACTAATATTCCAGAAACTAGCACAGATTGCCTTCAGCCGTTTTCCAAAACTCAGCAGGATATACTTTATTGCGGATACCTATTTAGATGTAACTATTAAAACATTGAAAGAGAGAAGAGGATTTGGAGAAACGTTCTTAATGAGATGTCCAAAGTCAAGATCCCACGGGATTGGAAAAAAATCCTAGCTGATGGTAAAAATAAAGAACAATGGGTTAACATGCTAAATAATGAATGGTATCAGCACAAATATTCATAAATTCAAACAAGCTTCAATACACGTTTCTAGGGTAATGTAAGGTTGTTTTTTGGTGATATTTTGAAATTCACCCCCCACCCACAAACAGGGTTGAAATTTTTTAAATGGCAACCCATTTCAATCGGCACATTATTTTAAAGAGATTTAAAAAAATAAAATTATTGCCGCAAATCCGATTTTGATACGAGGAAAATGAAGTTTTAGACGTTAATTTTACTGAAACCTTACATTCCAGTAAAATTTACGTCTAAAATGTCTCAAATAAAATTTATTTAATTTAATTAGAATCTCTTAAAATTGCTTTCCTAGAGGTACTCTTTAAATCTAATGTTATTTAAATAGATTTAATTGAAAATCAATTCAGGCGAATTTGAAATCCGCATTGCCTGCAGGTTTGCTGCAGCGGGGGTATTTTTTTTAACTTTTTTATTTTCATTTGAAGCCTTTGAATATATACTGAAGAAGTCCATAAAAAAATATTTCACCAGTAATTAACGTAGGCTACCCTTATGTAATTTTAATAAAACGGTTTTTAAATTGAACAGTTTTTCTTTATTTTCCGGAATACGCTGTAATTTAAAAGAGGCAAACAACTGAATTCTTAATCTGGTAGGTAATACCAACAAAAAAAAGTATAAGTCATAAATTCCCACGGGGGGGGGGAGGGTTTCATATTGGTGGCTCATGGTCTAATTTAGTTCTTCTCGTTATTCGACTTATATAATAATCCATAGATTATAACAAAAAAATAAACCAAAAGGTTGTCAAATGTTCTATAAAATAAGAATGAAACATTTTGTAAAAAAGTTGTGCGTTCAAAGGAGACAATATAAAAAACAATTAGAGTTTCAATTTTGAAAAAAGGATAAGAAGTGTACCGGTACTTGATCTATTCAAAGTCAATGAGAGGCTAACTTTTAGAAAGAACTAAGGGTACTATAAGTACTTCTCAATTGCAATAAGCATAATTGTAAGTGCTAAGCAAGTTCATTTCATTCCAATGTAATTATCTAAGTTTACAGTACGGTATATTTCTATACCTACATTAATGTATTTTTCTTGACATTGTGGTATAATGAAAGAACAGGTAGCATTCTAATACTTTCTTATGAAGAACCTCCTTTGGAAAAATTAAGTACACTGTGCACTATTTAGACCAGAGCTCTTTTACTTGCTGGAGGTTCGTCTTGGTCTTGGTCTTGGAGGTTTGTGTTGTTTTGATGAGAGTTGCGGTTAGTTGAGTAATTCCTACTCAATCAGTTTCTTTTCCATACAAAAGCTTAATTCTGTAAACTATCTCAACAATTATAGTTTTTGACCTCAGACAAGAAAATTTGTAAACATATTTTTGCTTCTAGATAAAATTCCATTGTAAAAATACAATTTCTGAATTTCTCTTTGTCAAAACTCCATTGTACTGTTACAATATCAATATGATAATAGCATCAACAATACATTGAAACAGTGGCACAATAAAATGGTTGCTGGTTTATTCTGAATATGGATAAAGGGTGATGAGTGTAGAATGGAGTACGCCTTGTGTAGCTAACTGACTATAGACATCCCAAGAACAAAACAACCTGCGCAGAAACGAAAAGATCACGTAGTTCACGCCGGTAGGTGTGGCGTACCATTCCCTGCACGGCTCGAAATGGCCCAGGGTTCTTTTGTTTCTGGTATGACTGAGTCCAGTTTTGAACCTTCAAAAAGCCTTTGCCTTTTTCAGGATCAAAATGACCTTTTGATTACGCGGATAGTGAACTTGATTACTGGGCTAACACAGAGCATAAGCAATTTTTCTCACATTATCTATGAACATTCCAGGACTGCAGAGCTTAGAGACGGAGCCAATATGGCTGACCGTTTCTGCACTTTACCGAACACCTGTCCATGGTGCTGCTCTAATAGACCGAGAGCTTCAACTTAACTGGGCAGAAGACGTTGAGGAAGTGGCTTTGTTCACTAGCGATCCATCCGTAAACACCAGTATCGCTCCAGGTAAGATAGAGTGCAAGTTAATTGAATTTATTGAATAATTAACATGGTTATGCAGCATTCCAGGACCCCATGGTTAATTTTAATCCTCTAATTTGTATTATTAGATGTGTTGCTAGTCGTTATAAAGTTTCAGACTTCCGTTAAAGAGGGGCGGGTTCAGTCCCCAGCATATACTAACATTCTCTAGGTATCTGAGTGGTTATAGTGCTCGCCTTCAAATCTGAAGATCGCTGGTTTGATTCCAAGAGAGATCGTTACCAGACCCAGATTCCATTTGTCATTGGGCTATTTAATGATGTTTTTTCTAACAACAGATCAACATTAGATAGCAACAAAACCAGGGTTTGGTTTGATCCCTTACAAAAAGAAAAAACATGAATAAATGCAACTGGGGTGGATATAAAGATATTTGTGGGATTTTCCTTTAGGAGTGTTTATGATTACTTAATTCCAAATACCTGTGGCATAGAAATTAGTAAAATTCATTCTCAAATTAACAAATTAATACACAAAGAAATTCAGTTTTTGACCCAACTGGGTCAAGTACAAACAGGGCGTCATTTTTGGGGGCAGGGGTGGGGCATTTGCCCCCCACCTGGTTCCTGGGCTAGAGAAAAAAATATGCTGTACTAGCTATACAAATATTTTCTCCTGTCAAATCCTAAAAAGCACGGCAGACAAAAATCTGCCTATTCTTCTACAGTAATTAGAAACAAACATATTTTTTTAGAGTTTCAGTAGCACATTCAAATTAATTGTGTCAAATTATTTTATTGATAATAAAATTTGATTTGCTTTTAAGTACCAAATACTTGTGTTTTATTTAAAACCCAAATTAAACTGTTATAAACTATAGGCTATGAATACAACCGTATTCATTGCTATAGGTCTAAATGTTGTAAAAGAGAAATTGATCATAAATCTTATTACAAAAATAATATTAATACATCATGGAACTATTGATCACGTTTCTTAGATGACTAACTTACCAACAAATTATTATGTTTCTGTCTGTTGTCAATAATTGTTAGTTTCATTAATTTTCTGCCTATATTTAAATAAGTTTTACTCATAATTTTGTCTTTATTTGAAGTGCTTTTGACAATTAAAATAAGCTTAAACCCCTCTTTTTTGTTTCGAAATCCCCCCCCGTTTGCTGGGCCCCGGTGTTTGCCCCCCCCCCCCCCCAAGGATTTGGTGAAATGACGCCACTGAGTACAAACTGTAGGAGTGATTCACTAACTGTGCATCATTAATTCTTCATCATCCTGTTACGACGTTATGAGCTTTGGACTAGTGATGTGACGAGTTGAGTTGGCGAGTCGAGTTGACTCGAGTCAAGACCCGAGTCGAGTCAACTCGAGTCAACTCAATTCCAACTCGAGTTCTTTTGCGAACTCGTACGGAGATTGCCGAAGCTACACGAACTCGTAACGTTTCGAGTCCGACTCGCAAAAGCCGAGTCAAGAAACCGAACTCATACGGAGAAAGCCGAACCTTAACGAACTCGGGACGTAACGAGTTGACTCGAGTTTACTCGCACTCGCTTTCGGCCAATAGCGTCACAGCTTTACGAGTCAACTCGCATAGATTCAACGCTATTGGCCGGTACCGAGTCGGCCGACTTGCAAAACTAACAAACTCGTACGGAGAATGCCGAACTCACACGAACTCGGAACGTCATGAGTCGAGTCGAGTCGACTCGTAAAGCTGACACGCTATTGGCCGGTACCGAGTCGGCCGACTCGCAAAACTAACGAACTCGTACGGAGAATGCCGAACTCACACGAACTCGGAACGTCTCGAGTCGAGTCGACTCGTAAAGCTGACAAGCTATTGGCCGGTACCGAGTCGGCCGACTCGCAAAACTAACGAACTCGTACGGAGAATGCCGAACTCACACGAACTCGGAACGTCTCGAGTCAGGAAAGTACCCGACTCGTCACATCACTACTTTGGACACGGTTCAATTACACTCATTGACCTACCCAACATCATTGTTGATTCTTTGGACAGCTTTGTTAGAAATTAGAATAATAGATATAGATATAGATATAGATTAATAGACTAATTTAGGTCCTCTACTTTTCACAATTTTTATTAATGACATTGTTGAATGTATTCATCATAGTAAAGTTCTTCTATATGCTGATGATTTAAAAGTCTTCAAAGAAATAAACACTGTTAATGACTGTATACTTCTTCAGGAAGACCTAGATCGTTTAGTAGGCTGGAGTAATAAGGGTTTAAAATTTCATCCAGATAAATGTGCTGTCGTGAGGTACACAAGACGTACGCAGAATATCATTAATTTTCGCTACTCAATGAATGGTGCTGTCCTTCAATCTCTTTCTAAAACCAAAGATCTTGGAATTACAATTGATGACAAGTTTTCGTATGCAGACCATATTGCTGAATCCTGTAAGATGGCTTATCGTAACTTGGGTTTTATATTCAGATCTGGGAATTTCCTGAAAGGCATATATGGACTCAAGCTACTATATTTCTCCCTGGTTAGGTCTAGACTTGAATTCGGTTCAATAGTGTGGTATCCACATCATGCTTATCTCATTGAGATGATAGAACAAATCCAAATAAAATTCCTACGGTATCTATTTTTCAAAAGATTCGGCTATTTCACATATGACATATCATATCCTATATTACTGGATCTGTTCGAAATGAAGAGCTTAAAGAGTCGACGGGATGTACTAATGCTGACATTTCTCCACAAATTGGTCAATGGAAAAGTTGATGATAGCGAGATCTTATCGCTGTTATCTTTCCTCGTGCCTCGTCCCTCGTCCAGAGTCCGTGTTTTGTTCGCTCCTACATTCGCCCGGACTTGCCTGGGTGCCCAGTCTCCTGCCAATGTTTTAATGAGGCTTTATAATACATTACCCCAGGGTATTGATTTATTCAACTCGACCCTAGCCTCTTACAGAAATCAGTTGTTGAATGATAATTTATTTTAAGAATAATTTCATAGTACCATGGCTTTTGTCTCAATTCAATTTGTTGTCTTTCAATTTAATTTAAGTTGCTCATTTTCTGTTGTTGTTGTACTGTTGTTTATATAAAGTGTTATTTATTTAATATTGTGTTGTTGCCTACATGATGAAGAAAAGACATTTTGACACGTGTTCACACAAAGTATGTGCTGTATTATGAGTATTTGTACTATGCTGCAATGTAATTGGACGTAAGTCTGTATTGTAGCATTTAAATAAATAAATAAATAAATAAATAAATAATCATAGATAAATTTTATATTTTAAAAATCTGTTTTATTGTATCAGAGTCCTTGATTGTTTCTTTCTTCACTCTCTCCTGCTTTAGATGCAGGATTTACAATGATCATTGATTACCGGTATAGTTGATGATTTCATATCAGAATATTCATCAGCATATAATTTCTCAAACTATATGATGAGTGAAACATTTATACCAACCTCCAATTCCTCCCCTACAAATTATGGATTGAAACCACTATTGATACCTATATGAGTACCATAAACATTTTATACCTATCATTGGATGTGTAAAATGTAACATTATAGTATTTCTAAGGACAGAATTTCAGGAAATAATAGTAGGAGTTATAGCATAGATAAAACATACTCCCGTAGTAAATTTCTCGTCCTTTATAGAACAGCTAAAGCCAATTTTATTGTTAGTTCAGTCCGTGCACTGTAGAGGTTGTGTTTTGTTTACAATTTGTTTCATGTAATTTCAGTCATTTGAAACCTCGTTTAACCAAATAAAACTATTTAATCATAAACAATAACTCGTCCCCTCGTTGTAAAACCAAACAGTAAAGCACAAATCATAAAATTAACCCTAAAATGACATGAACTAGACAGAAAAAGGAGCTTCAAAGTTTATAGTGGGATTAGAAGTCTACTTGTGTTGGTTAGTCTATGGTGGTCTTCAGTGAAGAAATGTTAACATTTCACTATTGTAAAAAAAAACATTATAGAAAAACTTTTGGATTATCATGCTTTCTGTGTTTTACCACAGAGAAGTAAAGTACAGAGAAAACACGCTTAATAGACAACTGTGGCTTTCAGCTCTAATATGATGCGTCGTAAATATACTTGTGACGAGCAAGGAAAGAGCTTGAATGGCGAGTTCTGTGCGGAAATGCCTATTTCACAGGGCATAGGTCTTCCTTCACCGTGAATGAATTGTAGTAGCCTACATGATGGCGAGAGGACTGTGTTGGACATAGCCCTAGACACCAGCACTCATCAATAGTGCTTGACACCACAGAGTGTATCTGCTGTTCCTTACTTTTCTGTGGTTTTACTTATATCCTCTCCCTCCAGAGAAAAAATTAAAATCCACCAAAGTTCCCATCTCATTCTTTTATATGTTGCCAGTTGTTCACCTTCTCACGGAGGATCACCCAGAAGGTATTTACCAGACCAACATCACTCTGGGTCGTCCAAATCTGGGAGCCTGGGAACTCGGAGCTCCGGCAGATCCAGAATCTCCAGCGGGAGATCAATGTCTCCCGTTCTGGATCGGCTCCTACAGGAATGGATCCCTAGAGCAAGTGGAATGTCTTAAAATCCGACCAACGTGGATGTCTGACAACAGGTCTGACAGTGATTGTTTTTTGCATGTTATTATACTTGATCTTTTTAGAGTCTGTTACTGGTTGTTGATATTTATACAATTTGGAATCATTTTTATCTTTTTATTAGACTAAGCACTAGGTGATCCCGTTCTTTTATAACAAGCTCAATGTATTTTAATGCTTTGTTTAGAGCATGATGGTCTACACTTATAACCTAAGCCACAGAATAGGTCGGGGATATTATTCATGAATTTCACCTGCGAGCAATAGTGCGCTTATAGCGGCACTTGGCGTGTTCAGCGACGGTGGCATGGTAGCTAAGCATTGATATTTGTCCACATGCCCATGTCCGAATCCTGTACATGTGCAATCCAATAGTGTGGTTTAGCTGGTGTGGAGGGCCCACGTTAAATAAACGTATTCCGGCTTAGGTGGAAGTTGACGCTATTGAGTTTAGGGATTGCACACAACACCTGTTTTGCTTCTATTACATTAGTATAGTAGGACACGGATTTTGTTAAATGGACATTTTGTGTTGAAATAAATATAAAAAAGACATAACCCAAAAAAATAATTTAAAGAAAATAATAAAATAGGTTTGGGGCTTAGAGTTGATTTTTAATTCAACGGTTTATTTTCGGTTTAGTTTGTCCATCGGAGGGCTGACAATAACGTCTCTCGTGTGGCCCGGCACGCACAACTCCGCTTGCTACAGAAGAGGTGACACACTTAGTCTGAAGGACACTCTGGCGAGATACGTCCTTACCCAGGATCAGGACGTGTGGAGTCAGCTGGTGTATGGTATCAGGTAACACGATGTAATTCCATGTAAATGTAGTTTAAAATTATTCACTTCCACAAAGAACTATTTAAAAACATTGATATACCCAAGTCAGAGAGTGGCAGGGTGTATGAGACCCCCTTCAAGCATGGAAGATCAAAAATTAGGTATTTTCTGTTATTTAATAAGAGTTTTTGTAACCAACGCTTTCAAAAAACACATTAAAATCTCGTGTTTAGCTCTTTATTTTCAAAAGTTTTTAAGGGAGGGTCATGGACCTCCTCTTTCTTTCACCCCCCATACCCCTCTGTAAATCACTCTGCATTAAAAGTTTCTGGTGGTGCCCTTGGAATCAGCATTTATTAGCCATTTCATGATGGTTTTTTTGTTTGTTTGTTACCAGGTATATTGATCTCAGAGTTGGCATATACCCAACGAAACAAAACAGAACAGAGCATATTGATCTTGAAAAAAGGTATGCCTTGATTTTTTTTAGAATTTAAAATTTGTAAGAAATTAATGTAGTTAATACGATTGTTCAGTTAACACGTTCGCTACTGAGCGTCGCATATATGCGACGCCGCGGTCATTGCCACAGACCGAGGTGTACATTTGAATCTTACACATAGACCGGCTGTCACTTGGATAACAGTACACACAGACCACAGGCCAAAACCTGTAAAACAGTGATCATTTACATTGTAATACGCTACAATCGTGTTTGTAAATAAATTATTCTTGTTTCTTTTGTATTTTTTATAACCTTTTATAATGTCGCATATTTGCGACGCCCGGTCTACAGCGAAGAAAATAGTAAAAATTATCATAGTTTTCTTAAAATAGACTAAACGTCACATATATGTGACAGATTATTCACAGATTATAAACAGATTATTCAAGAACAGTTTATAACTGAACAAATATAAAAGCTACATAGGATAATGCAGCATACATACTTCATACATACATACAGTGATGCAGAAAAGTAAAGACCAGTTTTTCCAACTATTATATGACGTCACCAATCATCATATCCACAGACCAAGCGACGCAGTTGTGCATCAGACATCTCTGTAGACCACTGCAGGGTATTCAGTGCCTTCAAATATACCACCACAAAGATATAAGCATTTTAATAACCTTAGAACCCCGACGCAAATATGCGTCGGCAGTCTATTTTAATGTGACTAGCCGTCGCATATATGCGACAGCAGTCTATGGGTGGAAACCGGCCGTCGCATATGTGCGTCGCTGGTCCATGTGAATGGAAATTTTCTTACTATTGCAGTAGCGAACGTGTTAATATGTCATCAATAGTGTCTTTTAAACATTATTTAGGTGGTGTATCAATAAAAAAAAAAAACTCAGAGTTTTAAACTTTTTTAAAGTTTAAACAATGGAAAGTAAAAAAAGTATATTAGTTTTACAAGTAAACATTGAAATGAAACCCATTCTCCACCTATTGTTTAAGTTAGCCATAACCCCCTCAGTTTCCTTCAAAGATATGCAATCTCCAACCGTATACCTCATAGCATTTAGTATAAACGTACTCAGTTAACAAAAAAATCATTGTTTTGTAGTGGAAATAACTTGAAAAATCAAGTTGTTAAGTTTCACAAAAATAAGAGTAATGCAATGCTCTGAAGTGCACTGAAACAATAGACTTTTTTGAAACAATTCCTTTGCTCAGATTTGTCTTTTTCAATACTTTTGTATGTTATTGCACTATCGACAGTTTCTGGGTGAACCACGACTTGATCAAAGTTCGGCCGCTAGTCCCTGTTCTGCGAGAGATCAAGCAATTCCTGCAAAAGGCAAAGGGCGAGATCGTAATCGTAGACTTCCACCGGTTCCCAGTAGGATTCGCCGGGAGACACCCTCGTCACAACCGGTTGGTGGAACTGTTAGAGAGAGAGTTGAAGGATGTTGCGATAGAGTTCACCGGAACTTGGCCCACTCTGGATACTCTATGGCAGCAAGAAAAACAACTCATCATTACCTACGGAGACAATGAGGTGGCTAAAAGTGAGTGGTATTTCAAACGCTCTTCTTCTGATTGGATTTAGATATCTGGAAAAAGTAATTGTAAGGATTAGTTAACTGCAGATTATTGGCAAGGACCTCCACTAGCTCATAATAATAAGATAGTGAGGAGAAACAGCAAAAAAGTTCAGATTTGTCTGAATCTGAGTGGAGATGAAGTTTTGAACAGCTCTCCTATATTCTGAAGTATACAATAGAGATTCAAACACAATGTTTTTTTTGGCTCAGTAAGACTTCTTGACACAGTGTTTATTCTGTTCTTGTACCATTTCAGGTGAAACTTGAGTTTTATCAATCAGTTATGAGGAATGAGCTGGTCTAGTGGTATAACGCAGGGCTTCGGCCCCTGAGTTCCTGGGATCAACTCTTCCACTTCACCAATGGCTTTGGCCACAGAGAAGGATTGTATAGAGGAAACACTCAATGGTGCACTTAAGTGGTGACTAGCATGGTTGTTGGTGTCTAGAGCAAAGTCCAACACTCCTCGCCCTTATGCACTACAGCGCTCATGGTAGAGGAATAGACGGTGCGATAGGAATTACCGCACAGTGCTCACTGATTGTGCTCTTTCTTTAATCATCATAAATATATTTCCAACTCAACAATCTAGAGCTGAAAGCGCATAGTCGTAAGCGAGTTTCCTCTGTACCTTCCAATGCTTTGGCTAAATGATAATGGCGTGACCCTCTATGCCTAACTTGAAGTAATGTGTAAAACATTAACAGGCTAGGGTCAAAAAGTGTGAAGAAAGGACATTGTTGAACAATTAGTCAGTGACAGGAAATCTGTATAGCAACCCATTAAACAATATAACTTTGGACAAGTAACTGTGTGTTGTTTGTCCTCTAATGTCTTGGTGGTCTGTCCCTAGAGCATCCGTGGATGTGGCCTCCGTTGATGCAGATGTGGGGTAATCAGCAGACGGTGGATGGCTTGGAGGAGTTTCTAGAGAGTTGTATGAACGAGACGAACACCCGGCGCAAACTGTGGGCCGCCATGGCACAACTGACGCCAGGACAGCAAGACCTGCTGTTCAAGCCTACCTCCAGGTGAGACTGATACAGCAATTGTGTGGACTCACTACAATCTCTGTTATTTAACACCATTAGAAAGTGAGTTTAAAGTTATAACATAAATTAAAGGTGTTGTTTAGTCTATGGTTATAACTACAAAAATAAATCAACTATTTGGCCTTAATGAACATACGAGTTTTGAAGAATGTATAGTAGTATTGGAGGATGAGAACTTATAAGTGATTTAACATGAACATAATTTACTTTATTGAAAGTCAGCTCACTTTTTGTTCATTTTTAAGATGAAAATCTACCTCCCCAGTGCAAGAAGTATCAATTATAGGTTATTTCATGTTGGTTTTGCTATGTTTTGGCAGCTCATACTTAGTAGCAATCACAAATTCAAAATAAGTCCCATCAATAACAAACGATATTTGTAAAATATTTACAAACAGGGAAATAATATTTAGTAGTTGTAACATGTAACATGCATTTTGTAAGTACTAACAACTACAAAGGGATAGGCTCGGATGTAGAGGTTTGCCAAAGGGACTGTGTGTACTTTACTACTTTAATACTTTATATTGGAATAGCGACCATACGAATAGATATTTTAAGCCAAGTATGAATGGAGATGAGTGTGTAAGATGAGTGGCGCGATGTATAGTGTAGAAAACTGTCTGATTAGGAGGTGAGCCCTGTAATTATTCAGCTACCCATCATACTCAATACATTATTTTAGTGAATTTCCCATATTACTTAGTTACTAAAAGAAGGTACTAATACCCCGCCGCAGCAAACCTGCCGACTGAGCGAATTTCCATCTGCCTGTATTGATTTTCAATTAAATTCATTGAAATAACTTTTGGTTTAACGAGTCCCTATGTTTGCTGCTACAGGGAAACTAATAAAGTGTGATTTTTATTAAAATTAATAAAATAAATAAATAAATAGTATAAAATAAATAAATTTGCTAAGTTATTAGATCAAAATAAATCCATAAATAATGCAAACTACATTTTTAAGTAATCTCCATAAGGATAACTAGGGAGTTTTAAATTTAAAATTTTTAAAATTTTCTCCGTTACCAATAACCGTACAAAAACACTTTGTAATACAAAATCATCTGTTTTTTTTTCTCTTTAAAAGGTCTAGAGAGAAGTTGGGAATTTTTTTGTTTTGAGGGTAAAAAATGAAAAAAAAACATTTTTACCCCATAAATCCCCCCTGTAAAACCCTATTCCCATGGTCTGATCATGCTGATTTGCGAACTCATTCAAGTTTATCCCACCTTCCCCTGACCTTTAAACCAAATTTCATCAAAATCAAACAAAAGTTACTCAAGTTATCACATTCACAGACGTATCTATAAATACGTATATACAAATTTGAACGAATGGTGTTTTTGGCCCTGGGGACATAAAAATGAAAAAGTAAATCAGTCCCGAGCCTATAGGTCTTCCCGTGCCAACTACGGTAATAGCTACTTTCCTATAGAGAAATTCGCTGAAATAAAGGGAAGTAAAAACATCTCATTCTTTGCCTTCGCTTTGCCGTCTTCTCCCTGTACCGGTTCAAACTATAAATAAATCATCAAGATGTTCTTGCACTATCCCATAGTTATCCAGCCCTGACTGTTACCATGCATTTCATAAAGATAAGTTTCATAATATTTTTCTATTCCAGTTTACGAACAATGGCGGAAGAAGTCAACCCACGACTTACAGAGTGGCTAAGAGATCGATGGTGGTCCCAATCTAACATCGTCGCGAGTGATTTCTTCCTCGGAAACAACGTGATTGACATCGCCATCACAGCAAACATTGAGAAGGGAAACACCATCAAGAGATACGAACTAATGTGATATTGAGTCTTTGAGCACCTGATCAATATGTCAAAGTACACTTTGGGAACAGCATATTCAAAAAGATATCATTGAAGAAAATGTTCACACTGAATTGGAAGCAGATTTACTAAGATGATTTGTAAAAACTGTGATCTTATTTTGTTTACTTGACATACATAACAAAACAGGATAGGGTATAAAAAGTTGTAAAAACATGTACACATCCTAATTTTTCCTGTACTATAAATCAACTGTTGAGTTCATATTAAAAATTATAATATTTAGGGTAGGGGCAAATACTTAATGTAAGGTTAGGTTAAGTAATTTTAAGTAGACCCCTACCTTATCTCAGTTTTGTTGCTCAAATACAAAGGGTAATTTGTGAAGAATGCCACTTTTACTTTACCGAGATCAGGATTCTTCATTGGTGACATTAAATATAAAAAAATATCCATTACAGTATTTATTTTATCTTCATCATATTAATTATTTTGATTGGCACCTGATGCATACTTATCATGGTTCCTACGATACAATTAACATGAAGATATAAGGATTTTGGATTTAAGTATGATAATTCAGAAATGAGGTCTTTTGCTAACACTTATCCATGTTTTATTGCTGAAGTTCCCTATTGCATTAGAGTGGTAAGGAATTCGCATAGTTATAATAAAATTGTTTATCACATTGAAATACAACAAGAAAAAGCGAATAAAATAACTATTCCACAGGTCAGGTATTTCCATTTACAGGCAGCATCATAAATTAATAATATTTTGATTAATCGGTTACTGAGAATCCACCCTACTATTTTAGTAACGTTATCAGAACTATTAAAAAAAGTGAGTAAAATAGCGCTAATTTTGTCAAAAAGCGAGCTTGAAAAAATAATATTTGTTAACAGAGATAGCTGATGATACCATATTATGTTTGTAACTTTATCTGAAATATTAGAACGATTGAAGGAAATAACACTTATCCATGTCCTCCTAGCGCCTGGCTGAAACATACTTGGGGAGGAAGTTATAGGTGACAAAAATAATAGAATTGTTTCACCAATAATTACCAAAAAGCTAAGTGAAATTTCCGACTATTATTGCAAAATTTTGGTATTTCGCATGTGGACATAGTAGATGCTAAATTATGGTTTATTACAGCACACCTCTTCTCCCATCACACCACAAAACAATTAAATCTAGATTTTTCATGCGCATAGAGTAAATGTTAAAGAAGAAGATGCATCAAGAAATAATGTCATTAATTAAAGGCTATTCGGTGAAAATTATATCAAAATAAAAATTACTTTTTGAGTAACAACCGTAAGCAATGTATTTGTTCATATAGTGTTTATCTAATCTTAAAAATAATCTGTGTTTACATTTTCTTGAGGTTTGTTCCTCTGGTTTAACTTTGTATTTTCAATTTTTCTTGTGTTATTTCCTGCATTTCCATCCAAAACTCTTTTACTCTCACTTGGTGTAGTTTCATTTTTATCTCTAGAACTTTCATACTTTTCTCGATTCGGAACTCCAGTTTCAGCACTCTGAAAAATATCAGGCTCTACCAGAATATAGTTGTCTTCATTGGGGAAGTATTGGTTATGTTCTTGAACATCTGTTTGGTGTATGTACTCCTGTTGTGTGTCTTTGCCGCTGTCTATTCTGTTGAAGTCGTGTTGGTACAACAGGCCATCAGCTGATCCACACTCGGAGGTGTACCACCAGTCGCAGACGAGGTACTTCTGGTTGAACAGACTTCCCCGCGGACACAGAAATGAGTGCTTTGCCCCGCTTGCGTCACATATGTGGAAAACCTGTGAGGCAATATTAGTTTAAGAATAGATGAGAAAGTTATGGATAAAAATACTTGTTAATGCAAAAAATACTCAGGAATTCCCAGGAATTATTCCCGGTGCAACATACTAGAGCTGAAAGCGCACGGTTGCCTCATCGGCAAGTTTCCTCCGTGCCATACTTCTCTGTGGTTACCCTACGTAAAATACATAGGTTTTTGAAACTCACCAGGTAAAAACAATAAATTTTTTATGAAAAGTTAGGAAGTTCTTTGTTCCCTTTGTTAATCAACCAAAATATTTCTCGGAAGGATTAAGCGATTAAGTTGTGTTGCTAGGGCCTGTCCTGGGTGGGTAACTCTCCAGCAAGTGTGGTCAGTGTGTTAAAGTGTCCATCTAGATTTTAGTGTGATTTAAGTACACCGGTAAGAACTTTATTGACCTCAAGAGGGTTAGAGGGTAAGGGATCTTAGGGCACCCACAATCCTCCTGGATAGAGGGTCTGGTAGGGACCAGCACAAACCCTAGGGGGTTTAAGGGTCTTAGAGCCCCAATGTAAGAGTAATTGAATGACTGCTCTAGAACTGGTTGTTTTTCATACCTGACAGCGTGCCTGGATGTCAGCATAGTATCCTGGTACCAGTTTCCCCACACAGGTGAAGGATGTTCGGGGGACTGTGGTAAAAGCTGGATAGTCCTGTCCAGCCAGACCCGGGATAGCTCCTGGACCATCCTGCTCAGTATATCCTCCTCCTAGACAAACACAGAGTTTCATTATCATGAAGGGTCTTGGAAAATGTGATTATATAGCCTACTTTTGTGATGAATAGATACGAGATAAAACAGTGGAGGCATTTTAAACCTCATCCCAAGGGAGCCATCCAGGCTGAGCAACCAAATAATAATAATGATTTCAAAAACTGGAAGAGTTCTAATAAATTTCAATTGTGGAATTCAGAAGAATGAAAGTTTAAAACACAAACATGGCTTATAAGGTTTCCAAATTACCTGTGTAACCAAGAATGGTAATCTTAGGATTGCGGGTTCAATTCAAGCTGATCAGTTCCAGACTCAGATGCCAACATCGATCTCTATTGTCATTGGGCTCTTAAATGATGTGATGATACCAAACAAAAAATTATGTTAGATAGTACAAGACCAAGGGTTTGAATTGTTAAATCTCAAAAACCTTAAAAATTCAAATGTAATGGCAATGGCATGGAGTGGATGAATACAACGGAAGAATATTTTTGAGCCCCCAAGTGTATCACATCCAGTGTTTGACTTTTTTTGTAATATTTGTTATGATATTCATAAAATTGTAATACAATCAAGAGCTTTACCATTCCGAGCCAGTTTCAGCTCTTCTCTGAGCTCAGCTTCCAATGCAGCCAGCCTTAGTCTTTCTTGTTGTATCTCTGTCTCTGTCACTCCTACAGGCTGAGCTATCTCTCTCTCCCTCTCACTCTCACCCTCACTGTCCTCCTCATGGTAGTCTTGACTCTGAGCCTGGTTGGAACAAATTAAATCGATTCGCTTTTTTGTCGTGAAATAAACTCTAGAATTACAAAACATCATCTTTTGACAATAAATTGTCAAAATAAACATGATCAATTTAGACTATTCAAGAATAAATTCTTAACTATGGAGTAAGGATAGTAAATGTTCAGTTTGGTTTTGAAATCAATTTTAAGGAATCAATTTATATTCCAAACTTTATTTCTGTACTAAGTCAATAAAAAATAATAGGTACCATAATTTCTGTCTAAAATATATTCATTCTCTAATTGATGCATAGTGATCTATTTATATTACAGTACTGATTAATCAACCATAAATTTTTTTGTCAAAAACTTTACAATGTTTAAGTAAAAAAACATTATCCATCCAAATACATAGACTTTGACCAGACAAACCTATGTGTATATCCAGTATACAGAAGGTGAAAACAAAAAATTAAAAATATTTATAAATAAATTTATAGTCCAGTAAATCTGTCAGAAAAAATGGGTTTGCTGTGCAAAAGGTCGGGTAGTTCTGATTTTTGGATATGTTGTTAGTATTGGGCCCATAACATAAAATCCAAGTTATCCACCTCGAGATACTGCCGCTCGCCGCGGGGCGCGCCACTTGTTATCGAAATATCAAAACTATGGCAATTCCTATTGTTTTTCACTCAATCTTGCGAACCGTTAAATTTATCGAAAATTTTATATTATTACATTAAAGAAGAATAAATTTGTGACAGTTTAAGCCCAACAGCAAGTATGTAGCGTAAATAATGGTCAAAATACAGACCATCAAAATAAATAAATTTTCCAAATACGAATAAAAATTGTGGTTTTTTTCAATATTTCCACAATATAGTTTTTTGTAGCAAACACCGTATTGATTTCTGAAAGTATGCCAGTTTATTTGCTATTAATAGAAAATAAATGAAAGTATGAATGAAAATACCCCCACCTCAGCAAACCTGCAGACTAAGCGAATTTCCATTTGCTTGATTTGATTTTTACAAACCTATTTAAATAACATTAGGTTTAACTGATACCTAGGTTTACTGCTATAGGGAGGGTAATATAGTATATAAAATAATAATAGTATGATAAGAAACAAATAAATTTACCCAATTTTATAAAAATGTGTCTATAAATAAGGAAAAAACAATAATTAAAAATCTTCGCTATTGTAATAACTTGAGGTTTTTACATTTACATTTTTTAATTTTCTCCGTAACCAATAACTGAAAAAGACATTTTTATGTACTAAATTATTTGTTTTTAAGCTCTACAAAATTCTTTATTGATACAATTGTAAAATTGTATGTTTTGAGGGTTAAAAATGAAAAAAAAAAATATTCTTACCGGCAAAATACCTATAAAGCAACCGTTCCTATGGCCTTATCATGCCGATCATGCTTTTACCCAGACAGCACGTGAGCTTGGACCAAACTTGGTTTTTACATATTTCTGAATTGGTATGACAAACTTGGAGTTTGGAACCCACTACAAATTTAAAACAGCTTTGGTTAAGTGAACTTGTGTGAATGCGCCAAAACTAAACTTGTTTTATTTACGTATGTAACCTGGTTGGCCAAGTCCACAATTTAAACACCTAACCAGACCCACGACAAGCTTGTTCATGTGAGTCTAAAGTGAGCAGTGCCATATGACAAAAGAATTTTCCCTCCACCCCTACCCAGAACGCTTCTAAAACCTGTTTCTTTGTGCTGAACCACCATTTTTGTTGGATTTAGACTTCCTCACTCTCAGTTGTCAGTTCTCACTAGTTCTGGTGTTGTGAGTTACTCGTTTCGTTACTAGTTGTGAGTTTTGTTTATGGTTTTGATACCAAGACGAAGCAAAGAAGAATTAAGGGATTCCTGTAAAGGTAAGATTTAAACTCCATTGATAAAAAATATACTTGTGTTGGTAAGACTATGATGATATAAGTAAGCTAAGCAAACAATTAATTTCATTGCATCAAGAACCCGTAGAATTTTGTTTATAGCCTAAACCTTTTGTGCTTTAACCTTTGACATACTCAGCGCTTCACTGAATCGACAACGTCACTCACTATACTATACTCTAATAGTCTACTGCTGAACTCAACAGAACAGTGCCAAAATTTGTGTTTAACCATGGTTTAACCTTAACCATTATAGTCAATGCCTTAACCTAGTCTACAGATAAAAACAGGCCAAACCATTAGTTTACGTATAAAAGTAAAATAGTAAGAAATAAAAGTTTGATAACAATTTTAAAAACAAAGGTAAGTTAACACCCTGTGTTTGCAACACCAAAAAATTCCAAATAATCAAATAATTATAATAACAAATAAAAATAATGAAAAATGATTTAAATGATAAATTTTAATAAACCAAATAATTCTAATGCAATTGTATTTTTTATAGATCTTCTGAAGCAGGCGGTGGAGTTGATGGGTTCAGAAAAGAAGTTGAAGGTGAAGTGGAAGATAGTGGGCATTGTATTTATTATATTAATAAATTGTCTGTCTTGAAATGTGAATGTCTTGCTTTCTAAACCTCATATATAACCAATATTTTTTCAAGATCACTCATAAAAAAGGCTTCATTTTATCATAAATCTTTCTTGGTAAAAAATTAATTATAAGAAAAAATGTGGGCTAGCAAATGAATGGTGTGAAACAGCTTATATGTTAAATAGGTATAAATTATATTAATATTACTATAGCCTATTATAATAATAATTATTATTATTATCACTATGATCATGACAGTAATTGAAGTATATAAAACTTCGTACCAAGTTCTGAGTGAGTCTATAGGTGTGAGCTTGTTTGCCCAAGTCTAAAATGTGCTAAAACCAATTCCAATATGAGTCTAGGCCAAGTCCAATATGAGCCTACTAAAAGCGGGCTTGGGTTTCCAAGTCCATAATGAGCCTGTTTAATTTATCAGTGTGAGCTTGTTTGCCCAAGTCTAAAATGTGCTAAAACCAATTCCAATATGAGTCTAAGCCAAGTCCAATATGAGCCTACTAAAATTGGGCTTGGGTCTCCAAGTCCCGAACAAGTCCATAATGAGCCTGCTTAATCCACCAGACCCGTTTTGTATCCATCATTCCAAGCTTAGAGTGGGTTTGTGCCCATGAGTTCACTGTAGGTTTGGGGTTGGGACTTGGGTTGGACTTGGGGAGCCAAACCCATAACAAGTTGAACAACTGCCAACTTCGGTCTCTAAAACAAGTCAAAACCAAGCCTACAGACTTTGGTCCCTGAGTCTAAACCAGGCTTGGGAACTTGGGCCAATGGACTTGGAACAAGTTCCCAGCAAGCCCATTGTGCTGTTGGGGTAATAACTCGTTTTAATAAATAAATGTACGTTTACATGATTCAATGATTTATAATAGGCTAAGTCACTTACAATACAAATTAAATGATAAATAGTTCATCTCTTGATTCACAAATAAAAGTAATGTTTGTACCAAATTCCACTAAATCGGATGATTTTTGGGAATCATCGTGCTAACGGACGATAATAACTTTTTTGGATACAGTTAAGTAAAATATTATTTTTTTTGGAGCCGGGGTCTGCAAAAAACTCACCTAGTTTGAAAATTTATTTATTTATTGTACTAGATACAAACTACTGTTCAACGACTGATACCATAGAGAAGGCTATGCTGATACATTAAATGAAAGTCAATAAAATAAAAGTTATTTTAACACTATCACACCTCAATATGCGAACCATTTGTAGCCCTGTAGACATGCAAGCTATTTTTACTCATTTTTATCATTAATATTTTATTATTTGTATTATAATTTATTACCAAAACTATGTTCAAGGTCAAATAGGTGTACGCAACTTATTGCCAACGTATGAAAGTAAAACTTTGAAGTATACTCTACACAGCACGAAATTATTATTACTCATCCATTTGAACAATAGTATCAGACCAAATTCCACACCAGAACTTGTCTGTACGTCTTGTAGTGAAATTTCCGATCTTTGTGAATTTTTTGTGTTCTTCAATATCAATCATGTATTTCAATTCATATTCAGCATGTCCTGTATAGATGGGCGCACTTGGCGTTGAAAAATTACCCGCTGCATGGAAGATCTGTAGAGTGATTGTAATTGGAAGATTTTATTTTTCCTGATCTTTCAGCCTCAATAAACTGTTAACTATGTTAAACTGTTTTATTTTGTTTTCATGTGAAAGTATTGTGCCCAAAGCTTAGCTTAAATGTTTATGTATAAACATTTGACAGCTTTGGGAAGAATAGTTTTGCCGTTGAAGGTATATTTTGAAGGTCTTTTTTTCGGCATGTAAACCTACATTTATTAAAACGAGTTCACGAAGCATGATCAGGCCATGGGAACGGTTGCTTTATGGGGTATTTCGTTAAAAACAGGTTTTTGGTATTTTTGACCCTGAAAACATACAATTTTACAATGTATCTCCAAACCATTTTGTAGAGCTTAAAAACAAATAATTTAGTTCATTAAAATGTTTTTTTACAGTTATTGGTTACGGAGAACATTAAAAAATGTAAATGTAAAAACCTCAAGTTATTACAATAGCGAAGATTTTTAATTATTGTTTTTTCCTTATTTATAGACACATTTTTATAAAACTGGGTAAATTTATTTGTTTCTTATCATACTATTATTATGTTATATAATATATTACCCTCCCTATAGCAGCAAACCTAGGTACCAGTTAAACCTAATGTTATTTAAATTCGTTTGTAAAAATCAAATCAAGCAAATGGAAATTCGCTTAGTCTGCAGGTTTGCTGAGGTGGGGGTATTTTCATTCATTCTTTCATTTATTTTCTATTTAATAGCAAATAAACTGGCATACTCTCTGAATCAATACGGTGTTTGCTTCAAACAACTATATTGTGGAAATATTGAAAACCCATAATTTTTATACGTATTTGGAAAATTTATTTATTTTGATAATCTGTATTTTGACCATTATTTACGCTACATACTTGCTGTTGGGCTTAAACTGTCACAAATTTATTCTTCTTTAATGTAATAATATAAAATTTTCGATAAATTTAACGGTTCGCAAGATTGAGTGAAAAACAATAGGAATTGCCATAGTTTTGATATTTCGATAACAAGTGGCGCGCCCCGCGGCGAGCGGCAGTATCTCGAGGTGGATAACTTGGATTTTATGTTATGGGCCCAATACTAACAACATATCCAAAAATCAGAACTACCCGACCTTTTGCATACCAAAATGTCTTATTTTACTGGACTATTATACAAAATTACGAAAGAAAGAATTTACATAATTTAGTTTAACAAACTCATAATGGTGAGTAGAAAAATATTGATATAAACGTTTATGTTGTCAAAAGATTACCCAGCTTATTCTCCCAGTCTAGTACAATATAATAAATAGCTTATTCCCTAATTAGGGAAATTCACTAATACTGTATTAACAGCAATAGAAAAATGCAAATTTTTACAAAAACATGGCAAACTCACATCTGCAAGTGCCTATACATGGGAGTGACTTAATTTAGCTCAACAAACACGTCAATTTGACAAATTTCGCAATTCGAACAACTTCAGACATTAGCTCAATCGAGTGCAGAACATCGAGAGCCATATCGAGTTGGTTGAACGCTGACAACACTACTCTAGCAGATCCGCGAGTTTCTTAACACCAGGCGATCGATGCTTGGTTGTGCCATCAGAACACTCACTCCCGACAGCTCAGTGGAAACTCGGGTGTATATATACCACCAACTCAAGCGAACTCCCGGGCGTCTCAGAGCAATTTTCATACACGCAGTAACAGACGAAATAACTTTGTAAATCCATTTTAAAGTGTATAATTCTTTTCTTCTAACACGTCTTAAGGGGCACGATTAGGAATTAGAGCAGAACCTGAAGTGGATGGTTACAAATTAATTTTTTAAAGTATCAAGTTCTCGGTGTATTCAACGGTAGAGACGCTGCTGCTACCTAGCGGTTAACAGAAGAACTGCGTGCGCTGTGTATTGTTGAAGAACGCTGTCCGTGCAACAATTAAAAATAGATTGCCTAGTCATTGGTGTGATAAGGAATTAGCGTCTGGTGTAAATAGTTTGTAATGAATAGTTTTGGATAATCACAAAGATAACTTTTGTAATAAACATTAGTTTTGTAAAATAGTTACCTAACATTATTATAGTTAAAACAATGTAACTGTTATTTATGTTTTACATAACAAAATTACGATGATAGGAATATAATAAGTACCAGTATTGAGAACTCCAGCTTGGCATAAAAAAAATGTAATTTGTTAATATTTCAGCACTGGATATAAAAAATGTTCGGGGTTCCGCAGGGTAGTATTCTTGGACCGTTGCTTTTTATTGTGTATATTAATCAGTTCATCTTCGTTCAGCTAAATTTATTTAATGCAGATGACACAAACTTATTTTTTGGAAGTCCACACACCACTTTGCAATTCATAGTTGAAGAGTCAGTCGATTTACTTTTAAGTTGGTTATTAATTAAAAATCTATATCTTATCTCCGATTAGTTTGTTTCTATACAATTCCTAACTCTTGATAAGAGCTTTGAAATTATATACAGCCTTGTGGTATGTTAAACCGCGTCTGCTATTCACTTAGGACGCTGTAACCTTTTTTTTCGGTCAGGAAATGATAGTTGCGGCACGTTAGGCCAACTAAGGTGGTTCTTTCTCAGCCAAGACAGATGAAATCAAACAGTTCAGAGCAAGGTAAGGTTTCAAAAATGTAAAAAAAAAAAAAACAAGGACATGTTTTGGGAAACGTAAAACATATCCGTTGGGAGTATATACTGTATATAAAACTCCTGTATACTTGATTTCATTTAACATAAACATATCGTAATTATTTACATGAATCAATCTGTTGCGGGATATAAAAAAGGCTAACTAAGTGCTTACGAAGCGTATTTACTTACATTATTCACACTTAAAATGGTTTACAATACCTGCATATAGTAATCCTTTGTTGCTGATTTTGACAACTAGTTTCGGTTCTTGTTTTGAACCATCATCAGGCTTCAAGGTGTCAAGTAATCATTTCATTCGAAGGTCGTTAACAAACAGAGTTCAATAAATAAAACATATACAAACACGATAACACGGAACGGACACACATTACAAAAACACGAAGGGACATTGACAATCGATCGTGACCGAATGAAGTGATTACTAACACCTTGATGCCTGATGATGGTTCAAAACATGAACCGAAACTAGTTGCCAAAGTCAGCAACATAGGATTGCTATACCGTATGCAAGTATTGTAAACAATTTTAAGTATAGTATAATACAGTAATCCGGAGGTTAAACAACTATTTTTAAAATACATTATTTGGCCATTTAAAGCGCATTGTTCACGAATAAAATATGTCTATGTCAAGGGCATAAAGTGGCCCTGTCCAACCCAAGTTCAAGGTTGAAATACCAGTTCACCTGAAGTTCTTAACCTTCAAATATGCACCCTTAGCCGTCGAATAAATCCAATCCAAGAAAATCAAGATCATATGCATGACACAATCCTACGTTTCACGGGTATGCCACGGTGTTGTGAAGTAAAAGATCAGGAGAGTAAACTTGAGCATACGTTATTGCCAAATACTACGCGTTTTTCACATCAAAATAAACAGAAACTTGACAAATTCACAGTACCAAACATTCTATAGTTTACTACTGTATATTGTAGGCGTATTGAGCCAAAGCTGGTGGAGACCGACGGTGCAAATAGTCATGACTGTAAGTTAAACTATTCGCTGGGGTACCTCACTGTACTTCAACCACCTCTCAGACCATTTTACAATGAATACGTGCAATTGAGATATAAACAAAACGAAAGAAACTCGTAAAGTTACACATTTCTCTTAGATGCAATAAATAAATTCATTTGTACTTACGTTACACTGAGTATGAGATGAGAGACAGACCGTGAGTACAGCTACAACCAGTAGTCTCACACACATGTTTGGCGCAGTGAGATTCAACCGCAGCTATATACCGCACCGCGGGGCACGCACCGCACGACCGCACGAGACACGGCACACGGCACGGCGGTAATGTATCATCAGGCGAGGGTAATCACCACACTGCATATAATCAGGTATTGCAGTCAGCTGATAAGGCATTAGTGTAATCTCCTAACTTCATTTCATCAGGTATTGCAGCCAGCTGATAAGGCTTCAGTGTAATCACCTAACTTCATATCATCAGGTATTGCAGCCAACTGATAAGACATTAGTGTAATCACCTAACTGCATAACATCAGGTATGGAAGTCAGCTGGTAAGGCTTCAGTGTAATCACTTCACCGCATATCATCAGGTATTGCAGCCACCTGATAAGGCTTCAATGTAATCACCTAACTGTATAACATCAGGTATTGCAGCCACCTGATAAGGCTTCAATGTAATCACCTAACTGCATAACATCAGGTATGGAAGTCAGCTGGTAAGGCTTCAGTGTAATCACCTAACTGTATAACATCAGGTATTGCAGCCACCTGATAAGGCTTCAATGTAATCACCTAACTGTATAACATCAGGTATTGCAGCCACCTGATAAGGCTTCAATGTAATCACCTAACTGCATAACATCAGGTATGGAAGTCAGCTGGTAAGGCTTCAGTGTAATCACTTCACCGCATATCATCAGGTATTGCAGCCACCTGATAAGGCTTCAATGTAATCACCTAACTGCATAACATCAGGTATGGAAGTCAGCTGGTAAGGCTTCAGTGTAATCACCTCACTGCATATCATCAGGTATTGCAGCCACCTGATAAGGCTTCAATGTAATTACCTAACTGCATAACATCAGGTATGGAAGTCAGCTGGTAAGGCTTCAGTGTAATCACTTCACTGCATATCATCAGGTATTCAGTCAGCTGGTAAGTATTCGTTGTAATCACTTCACTGCATATCATCAGGTATTCAGTCAGCTGGTAAGTATTCGTTGTAATCACTTCACTGCATATCATCAGATATTGCAGCCAGCTGATAAGTGTTCGTTGTAATCACTTCACTGCATATCATCAGGTATTCAGTCAGCTGGTAAGTATTCGTTGTAATCACTTCACTGCATATCATCAGATATTGCAGCCAGCTGATAAGTATTCGTTGTAATCACCTCACTGCATATCATCAGGTATTGAAGTCAGCTGGTAAGGCTTCAGTGTAATCACCTCACTGCATATCATCAGGTATTGAAGTCAGCTGGTAAGGCTTCAGTGTAATCACTTCACTGCATATCATCAGGTATTCAGTCAGCTGGTAAGTATTCGTTGTAATCACTTCACTGCATATCATCAGGTATTCAGTCAGCTGGTAAGTATTCGTTGTAATCACTTCACTGCATATCATCAGATATTGCAGCCAGCTGATAAGTATTCGTTGTAATCACCTCACTGCATATCATCAGGTATTGAAGTCAGCTGGTAAGGCTTCAGTGTAATCACCTCACTGCATATCATCAGGTATTGAAGTCAGCTGGTAAGGCTTCAGTGTAATCACTTCACTGCATATCATCAGGTATTGAAGTCAGCTGGTAAGGCTTCAGTGTAATCACTTCACTGCATATCATCAGGTATTGCAGCCAGCTGATAAGAATTCGTTGTAATCACCTCACTGCATATCATCAGGTATTCAGTCAGCTGATAAGGCTTCAGTGTAATCACCTCACTGCATATCATCAGGTATTGCAGCCAGCTGATAAGGCTTCAGTGTAATCACTTCACTGCATAACATCAGATATTGCAGTCAGCTGGTAAGTATTCGTTGTAATCACTTCACTGCATATCATCAGATATTGCAGCCAGCTGATAAGTATTCGTTGTAATCACCTCACTGCATATCATCAGGTATTGCAGCCACCTGATAAGGCTTCAGTGTAATCACCTCACTGCATATCATCAGTCTTTTAGAAATTGGTCATTCTCCCCTTAACATCAGTTATAATAGAGATCGATGCCCCTTAATGTATACATTTATCTAATTTTAATCATAGATTAAATATACTCCCTTTGTACATGTGTTGGTTAGTTTAAGGTTTTGGTTTAATGTACCAGGGGTTAGGAAATCACTTTATTACATACCATCACATATACCAGTCAGCCGATAAGCTTTGGTTTAAACCTACTCGTAGATAGTGCATTTTTTAGTAAATTATTCAAGGATAAATAACTACAATTCTTTGACTTCTTAGGTTTAACACTCTTAATTAAATTTTATATCTTTTGTATTAAAATCTTGCATGTATATCTCCTGTTATAAATTAAACCATTGCCACTTCTAATGCAGTTTTAACTACCAAGGCAAGATCTACCAGTGATCTCCTTTTCCAGAGAGGAATGCCACAGCAACATCAAGCCTACTGGCAAAACCTAACCGAGTTACCACAGGAATGTTCGTAATTTCTTTGTAATTTGAAAAATGAGGATTGAACAACTACAAGTGTCATAGTTATTAGTTTATCTCCTCCCCAGTGAGCACAATTTTTAAAATAACAAAACATCCGTAATTTTATCACTCGGTGCTAGTTGTCAAGCTGTACACTCGAAAAGAATGTAAATCTTATTTTGTTTAAACTGTTAAATGTATTAAAATGAAAAACTAAATACGAATTCATACAATTTTGTATGTAATTTGCAAGATTTTTCAGTATATAATCTTTCGGAGACATTGCAATGCTGCCCAACTAATTTGTGTGGCTTAAAAACAAATTGAACCAATGAGAACACTATATTTGTACTTTGATTTGCTGGCTACTCATCATATAAATAAATTTATACACAATTTACAAAAAATGTGTAGGTATATTTCAAGTTTACGTCTAAACCCATCGTCAACCTCTGTTAACAAACATTGATTTATAAATATTTGTTAAAATTTATATTTATAAAAATATTTATAAAAATTTGTTAACAGAGGCTGACGATGGGTTTAGACGTAAACTTGAAATATACCTACACATTTTTTGTAAATTGTGTATACATTTTTTAAAACGTTTTTATTAGCTCGCTTTCTTGTCCGGTACAAATTTTGAAATCAATTTTATACTAACTTCCCGACGAGCTAGAGACTTGAAACTTGAAACATAGCTCACAAATGGAAGACAATACAATATTATATAATTTAATTTTCATATTTCCCTTGGGCTACACCCCATGGGCTTGTTTTTATTAAATCGCTTTCTTGCAAATTTTGATACTTCCCGATGAGCTAGAGACTTGAAATTTGAAACATAGCTCATAAATGGATGACAATGCAATATTATATCATTTAATTTTCATATTACCCTCGGACTACGCCCCATGGGCTTGTTTTTATTTGCTCGCTTTCCTACAAATTTTGATATCAATTTTAAACGAAGTTCCCGATGAGCTAGAGACTTGAAACTTGAAATATAGCTCACAAATGGATGACAATGCAATATTATATCATTTAATTTTCATATTTCCTTTGGGCTACGCCCCTTTGTATTCCAAATTTTCCATGTTTACATTAAAAAAAAATTTAAACATACTGTATAAATTAATTTTAGTCAGCTGTAAATACTTAAATTTGACAGTTAGAAGAGCAGAGGTTAAGAGGTACAGGTTCTGCTCCCGAGATATTCTTAAAATATAAAACAATCATTTCAAAGTAAAGATAAAACATCGGATTACAGATAATAAGGTTTGGGGTTTTGGTTATGTATTAAGAGGCTATATGAAATAGATTTATCATATTTACACATTAAAGACTAAAAACTAGATAGTAATTTATAAATAAAAATACTTTTTAAAAATGCCACGTTTTTAAACACACTAAAAAGTATAAAATAGTTTATAAAATGTTGACAAAATAAATTCTTGTAAGATTTAAAACGAAAAACGTGGGGCGCATGCTGATTTACAATTAACTTCACCTATTGAACTATTATGATATATTGCATGCGCCCCACGTTTTTCGTTTTCAATCTTACAAGAATTTATTTTGTCAACATTTTATAAACTATTTTATACTTTTTAGTGTGTTTAAAAACGTGGCATTTTTAAAAAGTATTTTTATTTATAAATTATTTATATGATGAGTAGCCAACAAATAAAGATTAGCATAAATAATACCATCAAGAAAGAAAAAGAAAAAAAAACATACCGGAATGAATGAACACTATATTTAGTAACCATTCGCAGTTGTATGTTTTAAAATTGGTCCTTTGAGCTTTTCAAGAAACATAACTTAAGTGTCACTACATAACAATTTTCTATGAATGTCACAGTCAGGAATAGAACATCACCTGCACGAGACTGAAGCAAACTAGTCTCACGATGTTGAGACTTTCACGTCAACATCACGATCAGCTGTTAGGTCACGTGACGTGAGAGTATCAGCTGATTTGTTCATGCACGTAAATTTACATTCGTATGATGCCTAAGAACAATTTGAACCAGCAACAGTAGTTTATGAATAAGACAGTCACCGTGGTCTCACGAATTCAGAAAACAACTATCATAATTAGTCTTTTTTATTCTAGTTTTGACATTGGTGCCTGAAATGGCTGTACATTTCTACCTTCCTAAAAAAATTCTTAATACAAAACGCGTAATATTCTTACTGGTTTACATTGAAACCTAAAAAAGGACAAAACGTTTGAAATTAAAAGATGTAAACAAGCTCTAACTGGGATAGAGTTTACTTTCCTACTTTGCCGAGAATATTGCAGATTGCATCCAGCTAATCGTGACTTCCTCATTGCACGCAATCATGTCTCCCTGCCAAGAGCTTGGGAAGAGACTTTGCCTCTCTGGTTAGAACTGAACCATTGACCCTAGCTCCGTAGTTGAATATTTCATTGGCAAGAATAGGCGTAACTAAACTTACAACTAACTGCTAATATTATCTATCAATTATTAGGATGCTGACGCCACTTATGTGTGTGTTTTAACCCAAATATGAGTGAAGGATGAGTGTAGCTTGTGAGAATGTTTAGCTTTG